AAAAAAAGATGGCGGCGCCCAGCAAGCCGCGGCCCGGTAGGAGTTGTTCCGCGGACCGGTACCGGTCCGTGGACCGGTGGTTGGGGACCCCTGCTTCAAAGGATTCAAAATAGAGTGAGCAAAATATTTACAGATATGGCCATGTTTGTGAATATTATATCAATTTTAAACTTCATTGACACTGAATTAAATTGTGCATTGAAGGCCCAATGCAAGGAACTGGTTCTTAATTTTCAAATAATCAATAAAGAATTTGGGTTACAAATGCCTGACAGTGAATCATTATTAGTTTCACGTCAGTCTACCCTCACGTTAAGATTTTCTGTTGCAGCACTTCTCTTGGGTGCCTCTTGAATAGAGGTGTTTACTAACACAGAAGTTTTAGCTATAGAGTGCTCTTATATGTAAGTTCACAGGCAATTAAAATAGTTCCTTTTATTAAGGAGCTATTTCTGTTGACTTTATTCTGCACTTCATCTATGATATCGCTGGTTATAAATTGCAGCACACTTCTAAACTTTAAAAATGGTTGTACATAAGCACGTGGCAGAAAAATAAAAAGAAAGGATGCCTTCTTTTGAAACATCAGTTGAACTGAATGTAGCTACTAAAGTGGTTCACACTACTCTAAAATTATATCTGCATATTAGGTAGCTAGCATTTCGGATGTAATCTTGAAGGCTGCACCCTTACATGTACAAGACTGCAGTGGCATTTTTCCTACTCCATGCTTCTCCCTAATCGAGCAGGCGGTTCTGCGCATTTGGCATCTCGTATATTTAATTCTTGGACTGCTGCCCAGAATGACAGCATAGCTTTTGTAGCTCATTTCTATCACTCCCCCCTTCTCTTCCCCTTCTCCACCCTACTGAGTTTTTGGAAGAAAAGGACCCCTGGGTCCATGCCATGTTGACAAGATTTCTCTTAACCCTCTGTGGTCTCAGACAAAAAGTTACTGTCTATGATCAATTCCATGGCCAGTTTGATTATAAGTGCAACGGTTGTCTTTGCAAAACAAGGCAGCTCATGTGATTCATGAATCAATCTTTGGAATTACATTTGCAACTGATCTTCCAAACTTTCTTTGTTTCTCACGGTAATAATATATAATATTCCTCCCTTGGCTGTTTACTGCAATTTAAATTACAGGCTTCGATTCTGCGGTTTTGATCTTTACATTAAACAAATGTAAATGTAGTACATAAAACAAATCTGTATATATGGATGCATCCAACAGTAGTAAACTCAGATACAGATTGACAGAGTTGGAAGGAACCTTGTAGGCAGGAGTGGGATTCAAAAGGTTCTGTGGGCATGGCTTAGTTGGTGGGCGTGGCTTGGTGGTCATGTGACTGGATGGACGTGGCTTGGTGGTCATGTTATTGGCTGGGCGTGGCCAACTCAATATCACTCACATCGAGGCACGCATCTCCTCGCCTGGCCTCTCATGACTGCAACAATCGTAAGTGTGAAAAATGGTCGTAAGTCACTTTTTTCAGTGCCATTGTAACTTTGAATGGTCACTCCACACAAGCGAAGTACCGCAAAGAAGGGGAGACGTTCCTGAGACAGGAAATCTAGTCTTGCCAGGAATGTAATAAGGATTAACGGAGAGGCAGTTTCTGTAAGCAACAACAGAATGTTTCCTTCTTGCCTGCCTTACAGGATTAGGCCAGTAATTTCTTCTAACAACTGGTTGTCTGAACTGCTTAGAATGTTAACAACCGGTTCTAGCGAATAGGTGCAAACTGGTAGAATCCCACTCCTGCTTGTAGGTCATCTAGTCCAACCCCCCGCCCACGCATACCAAGCAGAAATAGTACCTTTACGAGATAACGGAATAGAGAACAAGAGAGTTGGAAGGGACCTTGGAGGTCTTCTAGTCCAACCCTCTGCTTAAGCAGGAGACATTATACCATTTCAGACAAATATATGTCTAATCTCTTCTTAAAAACATCTGGTGATGGAACACAACAAAGATGAGAAGCATAAAAACTTAAACGATAAAATTACAATGGCCAATGTTGGGTTCAGGCTGTCAGTGAGAGAAAACCTTTGGTTCCTCGATGGATAATGGTGTTAAATTCTCTATCCAGAATAAAAATAGCCTGGGTGCAAAAGGACACATCCTGCATTCTGAGGCGTCCACAATATCCGCAGAAAATGGTTCTATTTGTTTCTATTGCATATATGCATATTTCTCCATATTTCCTCTTGTGTTTTGTGACCTTTTTTGGCAATGCCTTCCAGGGTGGATTTGATTTAAATCGGCTTGATTTAAATCACAAGTAAAAAAGGCTTGATTTAATTCAACTCGATTTAAATCATGATTTTTAATGAGCGGTTGTCATCTCCGTCCCACAGCGGCTCATCCTCTGACCTGCTGTTGACTCACCGACGGTCCCATTCACATTAATGGGATGGCTGGTGATGCAGCAGTGATACAACAAGGTGAGGGATGTGGTAGGCAGCAGGTAAGGGGATGCCCGCTAACAGGTGCTGCCATGATGGATCTGAAATGGCAGGTCTCTTTAATACTATATTTATACGCTGCTGGTCCTTCCTCCTCACGCTTAGAGCCTGGTGGTATAAGATGCACTTGTCTTCAAACCAGTGGTGGGATTCCAATTTTTTTTACTACTGGTTCTGTGGGCGTGGCATGGCTTGGTGGGCATGGCTTGGTGGGTGTGGCAGGGGAAGGATACTATAAAATCTCCATTCTCTCCCCCCCTCCCACTAATCTGCTTTCCAGCTCCGTTCTCCTGTGCAGGGCAACCAAAGAAGACCCAGCCAATCAGCTGGGACTCAGTGGGAGGCAGAGAAGAGATGGGGGCGGGGCCAGTCAGAGGTGGCATTTCCCAGTTCTCCAAACTACTCAAAATTTCCAATACCGGTTCTCCAATCTACTCAAAATGTCCACTACCGGTTCTCCCAACTACTCAAAATTTCTGCTACCAGTTCTCCAGAACTGATCAGAACCTGCTGAACTCTACCTCTGCTTCAAACAATCATACAGTTTGTAGTGTACATAGATTTGCAAAACAATGGGATAAAAAGGAATATTCCTGAACTTTGTTTTATGATTTATCTCATGGTTTACTGTGAAATTGTGTGAATGCATCAATGCAGTGTGTGTTATCTCAGATTGTGGAGCTTGGATTCATTGAATGAATTTACCAAAAATGTAAACGTTGCAGAATATCCAGCTTCATGCTACATAACTAAAGCTCCATTTCAGCCTGAATAAACTAAATTATTAATGTATCTTAAAAAGAAAACTATCTTTAGATAGATTTTTACTCCAAAGGCATTTTATTAAAATAAATTTGATAAAAATTAAAAAAAATCTGATTTAAAATTTAAAAATCTATTTTAAAAAAACCATAGATTTTTATCCACCCTGATGCCTTCTGCTTTGTTTCTTAGGCACCCAGATGAGCTGTTTTTCTCCAAGTGCCTTTTCTTGGCGTCAGGCTGCGTATGTGGACTCCTATTGCTGGGCTGCAGTTCAACAGAAGCAGCTTTCTCAGAGTGAATCAGGCCACCTTCCCCTATGGCTACATAAGGTTTGAATAACCACATAATTCTCTGTTTCATTTTTTTTCTCTCTTCTCCTTATTTTGAACCCCAATTCTGAGAAGTTTCTTATAAGTATCTATCTTATGTATTCAAAACTATGTTTATTCTTATACCTGTATCTTGTAAGCAATTGACAAATCAAATAAATCAAATAAATAAATAAGTCTAAGCATACAAACACACTCTATTCTCTGCTGGCTAGGGGATTCTGAGAGTTGAAGTGCACACATTTTGAAGTTTTCAGCCTTGAGAAATGCAGCTCTAACATGTATTAATTCCCTGTGAATACATGTATCCCTATGCTCTGATAAAATGAGTCCTTTTAGTTTACAAATGGGGTTGTTAAACTTTATTTGAAACATTTTTATTTATTCTGCAGCACAATTTGGCTGCTGAGTCATAACTAACTATGAGCAGCGCACAATACTGCCTCCTTAGTTTGGATGAAAACAAAACAGAATTTAAAAATATTTTTTTTTTTAAAAAAAATGGCAACGTAAGGTTCTGCCAGTATTTCCAGCTCACTCCCATTCAAACTGTTCGCATAACTGGAGGGATAAACATCTCTTTCAAACCACACCCCCAGGTTATCTGAAGACTTTACAGTTAGTCCTTGACTTACAACAGTTCATTTAGTGACCATTCAAAGATGCAAGGGCACTGAAAAAAATGACTTATGTCCGACCTTTGTAGTTAACGACCTTATAGTTACAAACTTTGCAGCATCCACACAATCATGTGATCAAAATTCACATACTTGGCAACAGGTTTGTATTTATTACGACTGTTGCCGTGTCTTAGGGTCATGGAATCATCTTTTGTGGTCTTCTGACAAGCAAAGTCAATGGGGAAGCCAGATTCACTTAACAACTTGGTTACTAACTTATCAACTGCAGTTGACACTAACTTATCAGCTGTTTTAATTTCTTGGACAGGGTTCTGAACAAGCCTTCCTGAGACCATAATTAAGCGCACGCTTAGTTAAAACAACTCTTGTTTTATTGCAACGCTGGGAATTATGTTCATTCCCAGCCTGTAATGAGTCCCAAACACTCCCTCGAGATAAGCACCTACCTTTCTTTCCTTTGAATTGTTGCCAACAACTAGAGTGCCAAATGAATTATAAAAAATCAACCAAAGTACAAAGTCCACACACAGCTTCAAGGATTAATCCGAACAGAACGAATGACTTTGCTTCCTGCAAAGGTTTCTTCACCTTTGCCTATCTTTTATCCCTTATGGGAGGGGCAATCACCTCCAAGCCTTACTCCCAAGTTGCCCCTTTTATCTCAGCTGCTCTTGCCTTCTAGCAGCTCTGCGCACATGCGTACTGGAAACAGGCTCCGCTGGGTCCTTTGCCTCACTGCTGCCAGGCTCCAGAGGCTCTGGAGTCAGCACCCCACTCCCAGATGGTCGTGGCCCAATCTCTGTATCAGATGCAGGACTCTCGTCTGAGTCCTCTCCAGACTCCCGGACTGGTCCTCGTTCTTCCTCACTGTCCTATTCCGCTGCTGTCTGCACAGGCTGCTGGCGAACCACAACACACACTTAACAACTGTGGCAAGAAAGGTCGTAAAATGGGGCAAAACTCACTTAACACAATGTCTCACCTAACAACAGAAATTTTGGGCTCCCTTGTGGATCTTAAGTTGAGGACTACCTGTATAGACTTTCTGAATGCCAAAGGGGAAGGAGACATTCAAATGGCCATAGGTTGCTGGTGGACAGTAATCAAGAATGTGTGAATCTGTGGCTTCTGTAGATGGTGCTCACGGAACACAAAGGGAACCCTGTTTGACCTGATTAGGCCAGTAAATGTTATGGGAAGAAAACCCTGAACCACGCTAAACTTTAGAAGAAAGGTGGGGAATCACCAACCCTTTATGACTTGTGGGCTTCAACTCCCAGAATTCCTGAGCCAGCATGGTCCACAAATCATAAAAAGGCCATTGTTCTCCACCCCTGCTTTGAAAACATAGAATCATAGGGTTGGAAGCGACTTCAGAAATCCAGCCTCCTGTTTAAGGCAGGAAACTGGCCAACCCAGATTAGATCCTGCAGGAAACTTCATACCATCCCAGTCAAATGGTAGCCTGGTCTATTTTTGAAAACCTCCAGTGATGTAGCACCCACATCTCCAGGAGGAAAGCTGTTTCTTAGGTTAATTGTTCTCCCTGTCAGAAAATTTCTTAATTCTAAGTTGGATCTCTCTTTAACAAGCTTCCACTCATTACTTCTACCCTCTACTGCTTTGGAGAATAAATCAGTCCCTTCTTCTCTATGACAGCCCCCCTAGGTAACGGAAGACAATTATCATGTCCATCCTAATCTTTCACTCTGTTAAACTAGGCATACCTCGTTCCTTCAATCATTCATCATCTGGTTTAGTCTCCAGGCCCTTGATCATTAACAGATTAACAGAGTTGGAAGGGACCTTGTAGGTCATCTAGTCCAACCCCCCACCCAAGCAGGAGACCCTACACCATTTCTGACAGATGGCAGTCCAGTCTCTTCTTGAAAGCTTCCAGTGATGAAGCTCCCACAACTTCTGAGGGCAAGCTGTCCCATTAGTTGATTGTTCTCACTGTCAGAAAATGTCTCCTTATTTCTATAGTAGGTTGAATCTCTCCTTGATCAGCTTCCATCCATTATTCCTTGTCTGGCCTTCAGGTGCTTTGGAAAATAGCTTGACCCCCTCCTCTCTGTGCCAGCCCCTCAAATTTTGGAACACTGCTATCCTGTCTCTCCTGGTCCTTCTCTTCCCTAGACTACCCATGCCCAGTTCCTGCAACCGTTCATTGTATGTTTTAGCCTCCAGTGCCCTCATCACCTTGCTTGCTCTTCTCTGCACTCTTTCTAGGGTATCATTGTCTGTTTTGTATCACAGTGTCCAGAATTGCATGCACCATTCCAAGCTTGTCCTCACTAGTGCACTTTAAAAATGATAGCTATCATATTGAATTGTACTTAGAAGCTGGCTATTAACCAGTGTAGTTCCCAAAGTAGCAGTGTTATATGGTTGCAACAAGGAGCATCCATGATTCTAGACGGTTATCATTTCTGAATGCCTTTCAAAGGTAGCCCCATGTAGAATGCATTGTAGCAGTCCAACCTAGAGTAAGGCCCAAATGACTGTAAACAGAGCCTCCTGATCCAGAAGAAGTTTCAGCTCTTTAAATATAAATATTTAAAGCTGCTTTCCTGAACCACATCCACTCAAGACTGCTGAGGACCGTGAAAAATATATATATAAATGCAGACTAGAAGGAGAGAAGAAGGGAGTGCTATTTAACACCAACTTTCAATCCTGATGCAGGGCAAGATAAAGACCCACCAAAATGTAAATCAATATTAATGCTTACCTTGAAGGATGTTTTATCAAGCACATTTTCCTGAGCTAGTAGCTTTAGATGAATTAGACCGCAACTCCTATAATTCAATCTCTTTCTAGGAAGTGAATTATATACACAGGATGCCAAAGTTGCGTAAGTGACAAGATTCCAAGTTCCTAACAGATAATATACTTTTTAATGCATACTAACTATAAGCTTCGCCCCTAAAAACTAACCACATTATAGTGACTTGATACTTACCCATAGTTCTTCACTTGATACTTACCCATAGTTCTTCACTTGATACTTACCCATAGTTCTTCACTTGATACTTACCCATAGTTCTTCACTTGATACTTACCCATAGTTCTCTACTTATGACCTATTGCTTAACAACCATTCAAAGTTAGGATGGTTTCCCCCAAATTGTACTTAGGACACAGCTCTGAAATTCCAATGGCCCCACCCTCCCTGCCCTGCGGTCACATGACCGCATTTTGGGCTCTTGGCAGTTGACTCGCATTTATGGCTCTTTGCAGGATCACATAATCACAATTTATGACATTTTGGCCCAAATCCAGCATTTGCTTTTGGGTTTTGGCACAAACGCCTTATACAAGTAGACTTACAACGGTTCGTTTAGTGACTGCTCAAAGTTACAACGGCACTGGAAAATGTGGCTTATAACCGCTTTTCACAGTTATGACCTTTGTAGTTCCACAGTACAACCTTTTGATCAGACAATGCTTGGCAACTGGTTCATATTTTATGACGGTTTCAATGTCCAGGGATTACGTGATCACCTTTTGCGAACTTCTGACAAGCAAAGTCAGTGGGGAAGACAAACTCACTCAACCACCTAACTTAGTATTCCTAACTCAACAACCGCAATGATTCACTTAACAAGAAAAGTCATAAGAAAAGCCGTAAAGTGGGGCAAATTCACTTAAAAGATGTCTGACTTCACAATACATTTTGGTCTTAGTTGTGGTTGTAAATTGAGGACTATTAATGGTTTGATTAAGGACCACGATGTTTGCTTAATGACTGTATTTGCTTAATGACCGCCATGATTTGTTTAATGCAAAACAAAAAGAGGTCATAAAATGAGATCACTCTTGTGGGTTACCTGCTTTACAATCGTCATGACTTATGACCACAATGGGCAGGCTTCCTTTCAATCGTAAATCGGTGACTCCCTGTAATCCCATAAGTTGCCATTGTTTAACTTATAGGACTGCAAAACCCAGAAATTTTAGCCAGGATGTCTACCCCAAATCATAGTCTGTGCATACATTCCCACCTGTAAGATGTCAGAACATTTGGAGTTTTTTGTCTAATCTGCAGGTGAATGACCGCAGTAAGATTATACTACCTGAGACTTCTCAGAAAACAACAACTGAATGAAAAACTGCTGGTGACCTTCTACCGCTGCACCATAGAGAGTATTTTAACTTACTGCACCTCTGTATGGTTTGCCAATTGCACAGTGGCAGATAGGAAAGCACTCCAGAGGGTTAACGTCATTGCCCAGAAGATCATTGGTTGCCTTCTCCCCTCTTTGGAAGAGCTTTATAGCTCCCGCTGCCTTAAGAAAGTTCAAAACATTCTCAAAGATCCATCTCATCCTGGGAACCCTTTTTTTGAACTATTACCATCTGGCAGATGGTACAGAATAATGAAAACAAGGGCAAATAGGCTGAAAAATCAGCTTCTATCCCAGGGCATTAGCTCTTTTGAATTCTGCTGTATAGTGCAGTGTTGGTGTGGTGGAGGGGTTTTCAATTCAATGTGTGGAGGGTGAAGGATGTGTGTTTGTGTTTATTTTCATGGTCATGATGTGCACTGAAGATGGATGTTTGATTTCGTTGTACGAGGTGCAATGACAATAAAGTAAACTAACTAACTAAAATGACTTGATTTGTCATCAACCTGGTTGAAGGTTCTTTCTCCTGACTTTCTAATTCAGTTCTTCCCGTACATCCTGCTGCTGCTTGCCATCCTGCTGTACCTGCCATGGATCTTTTGGCGTTTCACTGCAGCGCCTCACCTTTCTTCGGATCTGAAGTTTATCTTGGAAGAACTTGACAAGGCTTATAACAGAGCCATCAAAGCTGCCAACAGTTTCCAGAACTGCGATGCCAGAGATGTAGCCAGCTCCCCACCTGCCATTGAAAATATTGCACAGAGGTAACATCTCCACCTGTGTTTCCAGTTTTCTTCAGATTTACCTTCTCCCACCGTGTTCTCCTCTGCTGGCGCTCAAGCTTATCGCCGCACAGCCTGGTTGAATGTTTGCTTCAAGTATAGTGAAGGAGCTGAGTAGGCCTTCCAACTTGCCCGACAAGGGAAGTAAGATGTCGTGCCCTTGTTAGAGTCAGACTCTAAGGGAGAGGAGGAACAGCCGACAGGGAGTGGGAGTGTGGCTCTGGAGGTTGTGGAGGAAACTGAGGAAGGGCAGAGGCCGGCTGGGCATTCAGAGGAAGACCCAGGTCCATCCCATCTTTATCCTAGGGCACGCAGGGAGGAATAGATAAGAGAGAAATGTGATGGCGTGGTCTATGGGGGAGGAATGGGCCCTGATCCCGCTTCATGGGCTGCAGCTGTGAGGACTGGTTAGAAGGACAAACTGCACATGGCAAGGCTGCTTGAAGCAAAGTGTACATTATTCTTGTCGGAGCTTATTTGTGTTTTGGCTTCCTCTCAACTGTAGTTGCTGCGTTATCTGGTAGAAGTCTGCAATTAATCATCCTTGCCTGCCGTAGTAATTCCTTCAGTGTGGTTTGTGTTGGGTTTTTTATTTCGAATTAACTTTACTTTGAGTGTGGACTGCATTTACTCCCTCCGTAAACTGTTTTCTTTAAGAGTTTGATTTCCACCTGAGGATAATTGGACATTGGGGCCAAGTTGGAGGCATTAAAGAAACTTAGTTCTATTTTTGTGCCTGGTTATTTTTGTGTCACGCCCCAGGTCATCACATAAGATTTTTTTTGGATAATGGATAAAATTGGACCTCCTGCATCAACTAGAATAGTGTTTGCTGGGATATTCTGGGAGTTGAAGTCCACACGTCTTAAAACAGCTAAGGTTGGGAAACACAGATCTAGAAGCTTTGTGTCTGACTCCATCATGGCTATCTTGGGTGGCACCTCTCCTGTGTGCCACCACCTCAAAGACCACGTTGTCCTGTCATAAAGATGGGAAATGGGGAGAGAGGGACATCCCTTTATACAGTATATCCCTCTCAGGACAGCCAGGAGAGGGTGAGTCAAAGTTTTCAGCGTTGATGGTAGCTTGTTCTCCAGGGTTGCACTTTAGCTTCCAAACGTTTTCATCACCAGCCTAGGTGACATCCTCTGTGGGACTTCAGTTGAAGCATCTTTTTTTCAGATCTTCTTTTATAAATCTCATGTGGTCATCTTTTTAAAACTTTGTTGGTGGACTTTTAGGGATTTCAAGGAGAAAACGAATGCCTTGAGTCTTACGAAGGGTTTTAGTACCGGTTATTCCCACTGGCCTCTTCTCCCGAATCAAACAAATTTATCCTATGGCTTCAAGTTCTTTGGTTGCTACCTTAAGCCCTATAATTGTGTTGTCCCACCGCAATGCTAAGCCCACCCACCCACTGTGGTGATGTCAAAAGCCTTGCCACTGGTAGTCATCAAAACAAACAAACAAAATCTACCACACTCCCCTTTTAAGGAAGTGCAACTTTTTGGCCACAATAAACTACCCCTCTGCCCTACAAAGGAAGTGGACATAAGTTCTTAGATTTTGGAATTGGAGTCAGCATGTTGTCATGTTAATTATACCAAAAACACAGAATGGTTCAGTGTTGGTTTAATGTCATGCTTCCGAGTAATGCTCCCAACCAATTCTGAGGCCTTGGCTTCCTCAAAATTCGGTTTATTGGATACAACATATCAGCAGAGTCAAAGGTGACACCAACACTGAATAATTCCCACATTTTTGATATAATTAAAGAAACTGTCCACCCCTCTCATGTCACCGGTCACGTTAGCCAACCATGCAGGTGATGAACTTCTCAGCACTCCCTTCTGCCATTGCTAGGGCACATTCAGTTGACCTTGGTTCTCAGGAGCCTTATCGTTGTTATGTCTGGCACATTGGAGGAAAACATTCCACATTCCATAAGTCCCCCTAAGTGTGGCAACTAAGAAACAAAGCAAGAAAAATATGACTTCAGCTAGAGTCGTTTTGAGAGTTGACATGTGTTACTTTAGATATGAAATAGAAAATTTAGAGCAGTGGTTCTCAACCTTGGCAAGTTTTTATTTATTTATTTGTTTGTTTGTCAAAATCTTACAATACAACAGAAACAAGAATAAACATAAGCTTAGGAATTAATAGGAACTAATAATTGGGAACAATAGGACAGGGACGGTAGGCACGATTGTGCGCACACCCCTTACAGGCCCCTTAGGAATGGGGTGAGGTCAATAAAGGTTAGTTTGAGGGTAAAGGAGTGGGGGTTTGAGCATGTGACAACAGAATCAGGTAGTGAGTTCCAGACATTGACCACTCTGTTGCTGAAATCGTACTTCCTGCAATCAAGTTTGGAGTGGTTTACATTTAGTTTATATCTGTTATGTGCTCTTGTGTTGTGGTTAAAGCTGAAATATTCATTAACTAGTAAGATGTTGTAACATATGATTTTATGTACTATGTTCAAGTCTAATCTTTTTAGATAGGTGAACTTCAACATGGCTGGGTTGGAGCTCAAGTCCAACCCTCTTAAGCTTGCCAAGGCGAAGAAATCCTGCCTCGGTGTGACGTCTATGCATTTACTTCAGTTAATTCCCTAATTGCAATGAACAGCAATGGCTGTTCATTGTGCGTTTTATGAATATTCATGTTTAATCTTCCCTTTCAAAACACCCCTCCCTATTCATTTGGAGGATGTCCACAGGTGAGGATAAGAAGGAGTGCTTAGTGTTAGTCACTTAATGAACTTAAATCCAAGGCAGCTGACAGCAGAATGTTAACTATTTCTGAGTAGTTCTCATTAGAAACATTCTCTTATAAAAGTGTAAGCCATCATAATGGGCAGGAATTTCAAATGGCATGAAGCTCTGTTGGGGTGTGCCATGGCAGATTCACACACACGTTTGTTTATCCGGAGGTTCAGTTAAACTGACATTGCTGTGTCTTTTGATTTGAAACCAGTCCTGTACTATACAGGTAGTCCTCGACTTATGGCCACAATTGAGCAACCACAGAGTGAATCTGGCTTCCCCATTGACTTTGTTTTGTCAGAAGGCCGCATAAGTTGGCCACGTGACCCTGGGACACTGCAACCGTCATAAGTACATGCCAGTTGCCAAGCGTCTGAATTTGTATAATGTGACCCTGGGGATGCTGCAATAGTCAGAAATGTGAAAAATGATGATAAGTCACTTTTTTCAGTGCCGATGTAATTTTCAACAGTCACTAAATGAACTGTTGTAAGTCGAGGCCTACCTACTCAATGGTTATCAAACTTTGTGAGTATAGAAGCATTCTTCTGATTACTTTCTTTTACATTAAATTATTGATAGGGTTAGGGTTAGGGTCAAAGTTGCGACCTATTTGAAACAGGGGAGTTAGTTGGGAAACCACCCACAATCACATGATTACTTTTGGGACACTCGGCAAAACGGTCACATTTACAGTAGTTTGTTGCATCCCACAGTCACAGGATCTCTATCGAATCTAGAATAATAGAGTTGGGAGGGACCTCAGAGGCCTTCTAGTCCAATCCCTTGCTCGAGCAGGAGGCCCTATATAATTTCAAACAAATGGTTGTCCAGCCTCTTTTTGAAAGCCTCCAGTGATGGAGCACCCACAACTTCTGAAGGCAAGTTATTCTGTTGGTTAATTGCTCTCACCGTTAGGACATTTCTCCTGAGTTGCTTCTCTCCTTGGTTAGTTTCCAAGCATTGCTTCTGGTGTTGCCTTCTGGTGCTTTGAAAAATAATTTGACCTCTTCATCTTTGTAGGAACCCCTCAAGTATTGGAACTCTGCCATCACTCTGCTAAACAAATAATTCCCTCAACACTGTCCAACTATTTACAAAGTCTGCACTACTAGTACTGTTAATCTTCTCATCACTCCTTATCACCCACCCCCTCCCACTTGCGACTGTATGACTGTAACTTTGTCGCTTGTATCCTTACAATTTATATTGACTGTTTCCTAGTATGATTCGATTGCTTATTGTACCCTATGACTATTATTAAGTGTTGTACCTGATGATTCTTGACTCTTGATGAATGTATCTTTTCTTTTATGTACACTGGTAGCATTTGCACCAAGACAAATTCCTTGTGTGTCCAATCACACTTGGTCAATAAAAGAAGTCTAATCTAATCTAATCTATTCCTTATTTTCATTAGACTAGACCAGGGGTGTCAAACTCAAGGCCTGCAGGCCAAATCCGGCCCATGGGGTGCTTAAATCTGGTCTGCGGGGACGGCCTGGAAATAGCAAAGGACTGGCCTGTGGGGCCTCTGGCAGCCAAAATGGGGCGTGGGTTGTGTGTGCACCCACCCCACGCCCCATTTTGGCCAGCAAAGTGCTTCAGGAGGCATCCATCCTGTCTCCCACCCACCGGCCCATGGAGGAGAACTACAGTGCTGATCTGGTTCTCAAAGAAATCCAGTTTGACACCCCTGGCCTAGACATACCCAGTTCCAGCAACCATTCTTTATATATTTTAGCCTCCAGTCCCCTAATCATTTTTGTTGCTCTTCTCTGCACTCTTTCCAGAATCTCAGCATCTCTTTTGTATTGTGGTGGGCAAAACCATGCCATGGTAAACAGTAGGTTCACTTAACTGCCACAGCATTCATTTAACAACTGCCATATTCATTTTTATCACTATTGTAAAAAGGACATAAAATCAGGTTGGTTCCATGACCGACCCATTTTATAACCATTGCAGCATGCAACCATAATGGGCCGGCTCCATGGTGGTCATATGTCGAGGCCTACCTGTATTGTTTTAATCATGTTTAAATTTTGGAGATGGACGCAGTGCTGAGCGGCTAAGACGCTGAGTTTGTCAATCAGAAAGGTCAGCAGTTCAGTGGTTCGAATCCCTAGCGCCGCATAACAGAGTGAGCTCCCGTTACCTGTCCCAGCTTCTGCCAACCTAGCAGTTCGAAAGCATGTGAAAATGCAAGTAGAAAAATAGGGACCACTTCGGTGGGAAGGTAACACCGTTCCATACGCCTTCGGCATTTAGTCATGCCGACCACATGACCACGGAGACGTCTTCGGACTGTGCTGGCTCTTCGGCTTTGTAACGGAGATGAGCAGCGCCCCCTAGAGCTGGAAATGACTAGCACGTATGTGCAAGTCATTACCTTTACCTTAAAGTTTGGAGAAATGCTAATTATTCCCAACTTTAATTTATTTTCAAATGTTGAAAAATACATTGAAACAGAAGGGAAAAGAAAACAGGTACCTGGGAATATTGAGGCATTGGGGAGTAAGTAATTTCTAAAGCAAGTGATATCCTGATATAACACTCCTGGAAATTGGCTTTTTTTTTTGTTTTGTTTTCCAGTTTATGGGAGATCTCCGACAGCCACTTTAAATACCCTATTGTGGAACAGTATCTGAAGACAAAGAAGAGCTCCAAGAACTTAATCATCAAATACATTATTTGCCGTTTGCTAACTTTGATCATTATCCTCTTTGCTTGCCTGTTCCTGGGTTATTATATTAGCCTTTCCTCCCTGACCGATGAGTTCATTTGCAACATCAAAACTGGGATACTGAAAAATGACACGAACATTCCAGGACTATTTCAGTGCAAAATGATTGCCGTTGGTGTCTTTCAGCTGCTGAGTTACATCAATTTCATCGTGTATGTGCTGATCACACCCCTGGTGATTTATGCCTTCTTCGTTCCTCTCAGGCAGAGCTCGGACATCCTTCAGGTCTACGAGCTTCTGCCGACATTTGATGTTCTCAAAGTCAAAGCGAAACACTACAACGACATGAGCCTCTACCTGCTTTTCCTGGAGGAAAATGTGAGCGAGCTGAAATCTTACAAGTGCCTCAAAGTTCTGGAGAGCCTCAAAGGCAGCGGGGAGAGGTTTGATGCCATGCAGCTCCTGAGGAACCTTGGCTCAATTAAAATGGACGCCATGGATTCCAAGCCAAACACCACCCACAAGGAGAAGAGGAAAAAAGTGGAAGCGGAAATGTCCAATGATGCAGCAGAATTGAAAGGTAACATTATCTCCCTCTGCTTTTATTTATTTTTTCTTCGTTTAGGTAGGTCAGTGATGGCGTACTTATCACCCAAGTTGACATTTTGCTGGCACCCTAGCAATTAACAACATCTGACACCAAGTGTGGCTGTTCAGGGTAGCCTAGATTTGGGAGAGGAGTTAGATCAAGGGTCCCCAAACTTGGCAACTTTAAGACTTGTGGACTTCAACTCCCAGAATTCTCCAGCCAGCATAGCTGACAGAATTATCCAGCCAGTATAGAAAATTCTGGGAGTCGAAGTCCACAAGTCTTAAAAATTGCCAAGTTTGGAGACCTCTGAGTTAGATAGAGAATGATTTCTCTCTTGTTTGGGGCCTGGGGAGAGGTGGGGATGAGATGCCAGCAGTGTCTAATTAGGCATTTTCCAAAATTTTGCATGCTGAGACCAAAAGGTTTGCTGCCACTGAAGTAGTTTGTAATTTGCTGTTGCTCTATTGCACGTTTGCAAATGTTAAAATATTATACTGGGAATAGAACAATTTCAACAATGCAAAAACAGCATTGTGTCATAGCAGATTTGCAGAGGAATTATTTATTTTTTAATATTGTTTATGGGAATGTTTGGGATTTAAAGCTTTGGATCAAACACGTAGTTGTGTTCGCTCACATGATTGAAGGGGCATAGAGACATTAGTAATAATAACATTTCCTAGGCATTGTTTTGAATGATGCATTAGAATATTATAGGCAGGTAGCAGGCACACAGGCAGACAGAAAAATAGATAAACAGGTAGATAAAAGGGGGAAGAGACAAATCCCTACAAATAGCAACCACTAATATACTGATTTCAGATACATAATATTTCATTTACTACCTATAATAGCAAACATAGGCTATCTTTTCATGTAATATCAAGACAATGGAAAATAAAAATGGCTTATTTTGCTTAAAAATATGTTGTATTTTTATACTCGTTAGATCACTTTTTAATATCAAAACAATTCTGTTATTTTCATATTGATAAATCTAATTTAAGTCTGTAATCATAACTAGACCTTTCTGATTATTTATTAAAACACATATATGATGATTATAAGCTTTTCCCGATCAAATTAGTTCTCACGTCAGGTTCCCAATCTGGTTTCAAATGATGAAGTTTTTTTCATTAAAAAACTAGCTGGTATTTAAAAAGAGGTACAATTTTTTTTAAACAGTCTTAACCATTCATTCATATTGAATACAGTGGTCTTGGGAGAAGCACAAATGATATATGTATAAAAATTCTAAATAAAATTTTGCACATTTGTGAAAGTAAACGCAGCTGAGTTTAAAAGCAACTCTATGGGTTCAGGCATAGCAATTCTTCTAATAGATCCCCTGAAATCAATGGATCTTAATTGAATGAATTGAGATCCATTGATTGACATTGGTGTCTTTCAAACTTGGCAACTTTTAGATAGGTGGACTTCATCTCCCAGAATTCTCCAGGCAGCCTGCCTACACAACTTAAAGATATGATTCTGATTTATATCACTATAATCTAGATTTATCTGTTCAAACGTCTGGCATTTAAAAAAAAACACAGCTTTGATATTGGTCTTAATCACCCATCCTCTTCCTTTCTCAAGTCATACATATTCCAGGATTAGTTATTACATCTCAGCCTAGACTTAATTCTCTTTAGTTGTGCTAATAAAGCTCTGAAATAAAATACTGTGTGCAAGTGCTTTAATTAAAAAGATATAACGTCTCTTTCTGACCTTTCCACAGATCTGACTGAGCCAAAATTGCCTGATGATACTGAAGGTACAAGTAAAGATGGCAAGATTCGCCAAAGACTTCTGGATTCTTCTTGCTGATGGATTCAGCCTGTGGTTGATAGGTGCTGAGAGCTATTTCGAACACCTGAGGCATAAAGCCATCTCTATTACGCCACATAATTGCCTTCCCACTGAGTTTACAAGGACTTGGGACAGAAAGGAGAATAATTGTTTGAAAATAATTGAGCTGTCTGTGTTTACATGTCTACAGTTTACATGAATATTATGCCTAGAGATACACTGATGGGGTGAACAATGTCAATTCTCATTAGGGAGGAAAGGCTGAAGTACTGAATTTGAAAGAAAAGAAGTAAAATAAGGAGAATATTTCAGATTGGTTTCATAGATGTGTAGACATCGATTCCCTATTATTCAGTATCTTCAGCCATAACGGAGTGTACAGATAACAAATGAACAACAATTAACACAATAGTGGACAACATAATAGTGACATTACAAATACCCATCATGTAAGTAAGTCAAGTATTATATACCACTTTGAAAAAAACTATGGAAGCGAACAAGTTTTTTTGCAAGTAGCTCTGTGGATAAAGGGTCAGTTAACACCCCTCACTTGTGCCTATCTTCCACGAGATTGTACACTTCAAGGATGGAGAACTGGTGACTATCTACAAGTAAATGAACACCTATTATCCCTCTCATAAAGCATGTTGTTGTCAGGAGCTGGACGTGGTACTTTCAACAACCTTTGAAATTCCACCATTTCTATGCGACGTGGAATATACATGTATTCATGTATGCATGTATTCTGTTAATACCACCAGTTATAGAACTATCTTAAAAGTTAATAGCTTCAGGATAGTGGTATAGAATGAAAAAAAAATAAATAGAAATGCATCTTATTTTGAGATTGCCTGCCTGGTTTTTCTACTTCGTGGCTGTACTTCACTGTTATATACGCAAAAACCAAAATATTAAGCAACTAGAACTGGTGGGAAAAGGTTTGAAGCTTTTGGACCAAGACATGTAGAGATTAGCCTATATAGAAATAAAAAATACAAACTTTGGATATCTCTCCCCTCTTAAGAAGAAAGACTTTGTACTTTTCTACAAGGTAGGTTGATTTTTACAAGAAAATCTAGAAAAAAAGGTTATTTCAACTGCTTATGGAGACCAACTATCCATGTTTGTGGAGACCAACTTCTACACCAGCAAAATATTGTCTTTACCTTAATGAAATATATCAAAGATATATCAAAGTCTCCGTAATTCCTAATAAATTCACCAATGCAGTTTTCTTTACAGCAAGATGGAAGAAGTTTACTTGTGTCATCTTCAGATGTTTTTCCAACATCTAGATCAAGTATACAACCATGTGATTTTGGGGGTGGAGGCAGACTTACAGGGGCAACTAACTAACTGCAACCCGGCTTAACATTTTCAAGTTCAGTTCTGTATTATCATCCCTTGTGGCCAACTAGTCTATGACTCCAAATTTAAGATAGTCCCTTACACTCCAATGTACCTTCTATAATAAAAGGAAGGCTCTATTACTACGTTTTCATCTATTCCAAGATGATCAAATGTTTTAAAGATAAGAACAAAAACTAATCTTCCTTTCATATAAATACTGTATAATGAAGTGATTCCTCTTTTATTACAACCATTCATACAAAGAAGGTGTCACAGGGCCTAGAAACAGGAACAGGATTCTCGGGTAAATTCTTCGACTATCTAGATTCTTTAGTGCTGAAAAAAAGCTTTTTAAAAACCGGAGAATTGTCCATCCGTTTCTGGAAAAGATACTTCAGTGTGCTTCTCAAAGCATCCTGTTAAGACAGCCTTAAATATCACCTTTCTGCACTCGGAAGATTTTGTCCAACTTTCTCAGGCTCTGTTTGGGTGCAGTTTTTTTCCCCTTTCACCCCAAGGAGTGAATTCCAATAGAGGAATAATTCTGAAGCACCTATGCAGATGATGGGTGCTGTGGATTATTTAACGAGACTTCAAAATCATCCATTTATTATCCATTTATATCCCATTTTCTTGGAGGCTGCCGTTCTAAGGAGGCAGCAAATGATAGATAATTCATATTATTGCAAGTTCAAGGACAAAACATGGAAAACTTAGCAGAAGAGTTGCAAACCAAAAAGTACAGATATTAATTATCTCAGGGTCAGCATTTCTTCTCAAACCAGGCATCATCATTTTCTTCTGCACTGCTTCTCAGCGAAACAATATCGAAAACTGTAACTGGTGCAAAACTAAAGATGAATGGTACAAAATCATCCCTACCTCCATATCTATGCAGAAATAACCACAAGAACAAATTGTAGATTATGTCTTGGATGCAATGCAGCATAAGGAGGAATACTCACAAGTAACAATTATCAGGAGCAAGTGGGAAATTATTGACAAAGAATTGAAAAAAAACAAACCCTCAGCTGTTATCAAGGCTGCCAGTAACCAGAGATTTCAAAGAATTGTGAAATTTCAAGAAAGAATGATGGAAAAAAAGAGTTACTGGTGGCTCTTCGTAGTCCTTTCAAATCGGTTGATTTTATAAGAATTGGATGGAAATCTTACGATAGGATTAAAACCAACTCTGCTAGTTGTACAGCATTCAGAGGTGATATTAATTAAAAACAAAATAAAGGAAAATACCCAATGTCTGCATTTCTTCTTGCATGTAATATAAAATGGAAGCAACTGTAAACAGTTTTGCATGGGGAAACAGATTTGACTCTATTCCTGTACATTGTTTAAAAAGTCTTAAGGCTGTAGGTACCTAAAGTGAATCTTGGCTTACAATGGACAGGCTGTGCCAGCAATTGGCAGGATTGACCTAGATAGACTAAAGTCATATTTGTTCCTGCATGGTGGGGTTATGCTCATTTTAGCAGAGTAGCTTTGCATGGAATACCCTGCAGGATGATAGGCCACGTAGTGTAATATGTGAGAAATTACTTGGGAGTGATACTGTGGTAATCCTAGTGTAACTGTGTACGTAGTATGACTATAATAAAATTGTTACTTAATATCAAGATGTTTCAGTGCTTCATTCTGACTGGCTCGACATGGCTGCTCACACCGAGTTGATCATTTTAGAATCATGATGCACAACAGTTTAGAAAATTCTTATCGCAAAAGAAATATTTAAGGAGCTGTGATGATTAGCATTAGGGCGTGATGGGGAAGGGAGAACAAAATGAAGCATTTTTTATTTATTTATTTGATTTGTCAATCGCTTACAAGATAATAGGTATAAGTATATACATAGTTATGAATACATGAAATGGGTACATATAAGAAAAGTAAAAGAAACAATAGGACAGGGACAGTAGGCCCGTTGGTGCGCTTATGCACGCCCCCTACAGACCTCTTAGGAAAGGGGTGAGGTCAATAGTAGACAGTCTAAGGTTAACATTTTTGGGGTTTGGGGAAGAAACCACAGAGTCAGGTAGAGTATTCCAGACATTGACCACTCTTGCTGAAGTCGTATTTCCTGCAATCAAGTTTGGTGCGATTAACCTTGAGTTTGTATCTATTGTGTGCTCTTGTGTTGTTATGGTTGAAGCTGAAGTATTCATTGACAGGTAAGTCATTGCAATGTATGATTTTATATGCCATACTTAGATCAGATTGAAGACGGCGTAATTCAAGGTTTTCTAGGTCTAGAATTTCAAGTCTGGTGGCATAAGGTATTCTACAACGAGTAGAGGAGTGGAGAACTCTTCTTGTGAAATATTTCTGGACTTTCTAACTGTGTTAATATCAGATACGTAATGTGGGTTCCAGACTGATGAGCTGTATTCGAGTATTGGTCTAGCAAATGTTTTGTATGCTCTAGTTAGTAGTGTGATATTACCAGAGAAAAAGCTACGTAGGATTAGGTTAACAACTCTTAATGCCTTTTTGGCTATGTAGTTACAGTGGGCTCTAGCACTTAGATCATTAGAGATGAGTATTCCAAGGTCCTTTACAGAGCTTGGATCATCAACAAGATCTTGACCATTCAGCTTGTATATTATTTTCTGATATTTTTTTTGCCAATATGTAGGACAGAGCATTTATTTGTTGAGATTTGAAGTTGCCATTTTGTTTGACCATTCTGATACATAGTCAAGATCTTTTTGAAGGGTAGCAGTATTGTCTGTGGTATTGAACAGCTTTACATCATCAGCGAAAAGAACGAAGTTGCTCTTAATATGATCACAGAGGTCATTTATGTAGAGTATGAAGAGAGTTGGTCCTAGAACACTGCCATGGGGGACACCACTATTGACAGGTACAGAATTTGATAGGACGCTCCCAATTTTGACCATTTGTTGTCTGTTTGACAGGAATGCTTCTATCCAGTTATGCAGTTGTCCAGAGATACCATAAGATTTTAGTTTTAGGACTAGTTTGTTGTGTACCAGTGAATCAAAGGCTTTACAGAAGTCTATGTAGATTGCGTCTATTGGTTTACCCTGATTGAGTTGTGTAGTCCATATGTTTTTGCAGTGTAAGAGTTGCAGATTACAGGATAGTTTTTTTCTGAAACCAAATTGTTTTTTGGAGAGTAGGTTGTTTGTCTCTAAGTGGAGGATAATGGATTGGTTAATAATTGATTCCATGACTTTACACGTGACGCAGCATAAGGAGATTGGTCTTTAATTTTCAACTAGGCTGGGGTCTCCCTTTTTGAAGATGGGGATGACCGTGGCTTGGGACCATAGTTTTGGCAAGGAGCTGGTCCTGAAAGATTTTTCAAAGATTATGCTTAGAGGTTCGGCTATGGCAGTGGATAGCTTTTTTAAGAAGTAGGCACATATTCCGTCCAGTCCAATAGATAGAGATGGTTTTAGATTGCGTAGTGCTTTTTCAACATTGTCTTCTGTAAAATTGATATGTATTAGATCATTGTAGTTGTCTGTAGTTCGGCTAGGAAATACTGGACATGATCCACTGCTGTTTACAAATACTGAGCCAAAGAATGTGTTAAAGAGGTTCGCTTTAATGGTGTCGTCGTTGCAGTCTTTACCATTAGGTCCTATCAGGGGTGGGATGGACCTTGAGTCTTTTAGTTTGTTGTTTACAAAATTGTAAAAACCGCGGGTGGAATTGGTGCGTAGAAGGTTTTCCTCTTGTTTAATGTGATAATTGGTGCATTCAGTTTTTATCTGGTGGCATGAATTTTTATATTGGCTTTTGAAATTGGCAACGTGACCAGATTTGTTTTTCCGCCAGAGTGATCTCTTTTTGGATTGAAGTTTCCTTATTGTTATGGGTAATCTGTTTTTGTTTTGTTTTGGGAGTTGTTGTTGGTACATATAGTTTGATGACTCTTTTGACTTCAAGTAAAAATATGTTGTAATGGTCTTCAACAGTATGGCATCCAGTGAATAGAGATGCCAATCAAGGGATAAGAGATCGTTGTCTATAAGATCATAGTTGCCTTTTTTGAAGTTATACTTGGGGATTATGTCATTGTGATGATTTTTGTGTGGGCGTATGTTGAGACAAAAGTCAATCATATTGTGGTCACTGCTGGAAAAGGGTTCTTTAGTTTGTATTCCGTAAATTAAATTCAAATTATTGCAGAAGATGAGATCAAGGCAGTTGTTTAGTCTAGTGTTGTTGGTTACTAGTTGTTCCAGTCCCAGATTTGTAACAGCATTGTAGAAGGTTGCGTGTATGGGTTCAGTTGTACATTCATTTAGGGTCCAGTCAATATGAGATAGATTGAAGTCACCAAGAAAGATAAAAGCGTGTGGGCAGGATGTTGCCCATGTTAGTAGTGAATTTAGCTTGTTTACATGTTCGATGTCATAATCAGGTGCTCTGTAACAGTATGAATCGAAATGTGATATTTAAGGATAGTTCACAGATGATGGTCTCAGGAAGAGCAAGCTCATGGGTAACTTGGATGTTTTTTAGATGTAAGGACTTTTTATAGAAGATAGCAACACCACCTCCTCTACGGATTTCACGATCTGATCGGTAAACATGATAGTCTCTTACTGTGGTAATGGAGTCAGGGAGAGATGCGTTGAGCCATGTTTCATAGACAAATATGATGTCGAATTTAGCCATATTTAGTAGGAGAAGAAATTCAGGTATTTTATTCACAAGGCTTCTTGCATTGAGTAGCTTGCATTTAAGGCCAGCAGTAGTTGGAATTGAGGTAGTTAGGGGCGTGCGTGCCTAGTCTTGGGTGATGGTGGATTGGTTGAGGTAGGGTTGTGGTTGAAGGTTAAAGCTGAGTTGCGGGTTGTGTGACTTACTTTTGATACAGTCGGCATGGTAGTCAATGTACAGGTCCTTCTCTCCATTGTCTAGACGTTTTTTGAGTTCAGTGCGGAGTACACGGGAGCGGGCACGTTGCTGTATGGTTAGGTCAGGGTGAGAACGGAGGCTCTTATGGTTGGTGTTCCTTTTGGCAAGTGAATTTATAGTATAAATGAATTTACGTTTGCTTGATTCATTTTTGCAAATGACCCTGCAGAAGTGTGGGGCCACAGAGCCGTCTCTGTTTTTGAGCTCTCGGCCAATGCGGGAAATGTCAAGTATTTCATCAGGGGAGATGGTTGATGCTTGATAACCACTGATGATGTTTCGGACAGTTGTGATGTCATCATTGTCATTGATGTCCTCTAGACCAAATAAGATGGCGTTTGGACGTTTCCGTTCATGCTCAACAGCTTCTCTGATGAGGATTGGGATATCATTATTTGTCTTGCTTATGTTTTTTTGTGGGTTGGGTTGTGGATTGGGTTGTGGTTGTTGGGTAGAGATGTGGTTTGTAGCTATTGGATGTTCAGGTTTTTGCGTTGTGTCTTTTTTTTCAAGGTTGGATAATCTTTCTTTTAAGGTGTCCAGGGATGCTACTATGGTGTCAAGGGATGTTATTAGGGTTTCTATGGTATCAACTCTTTCCAACAGATCCAGTTTGGGTCTGCATGATTTGCAGAGGTATGGAAACTCATTGGATGATTCTAGGTATTGAATCATTTGCTCGGGTAATCCCAAGCAGTCATGATGAGCGTATTTGTTACATAGAGAACATTTGATGGAGTTTTCATTATCCTTTAGAGTTTTGTAGCATTTAAGGCATGTGTAGGAGTCTTGTGGTTCATTGGTGGGGATTACTTTCTCTTTAGGTTGTGGTTTGGCATTGGATTTTTTTCTTGGCATGGTAGGTTTGTTAAGATGGTACATTGATTAAATTAATTAATGGAACAATTTTGGGTAATCAATATAGCCAATATCACACCAATCAATCAATTACAATAATCTCTCTAGTCAAATAATTTTCCTAAGCAACAATCAGCCTAATCAATTAATTACACTAATCGCTAATCAATTACACTAATCATTAATCACACTGTTCAATTAAATTCACTAAATCACTAATTTTATTAATCAATTAAATTACATGAATCTTGATCTTTTAATCAGTAATCACACTATTTGCACTAAACACTCTAATCACACTAATCAATTAAAACAATAAATCAATTAAACCATTAATGAAATATTTTATAGAAATTGATTATCTAATCATTGATATAGGTAATGAGGTAGAAAAGTTGTAAGTTTTGAGGTAATGAATTAATCAGAGTTTGATTAAAGTAATGAGGTAGTATTGAGAGTCTGCAAGGAAAGGGCTAATTGTTTTACTAGCAGCATTTATTTACTGGGTGGGAGGAATTTATTGCTCTGATTGATGTTTATTTATTTGATTTGTCAATTGTTTACAAGATAATAAGTATATGTGTATACATAGTTATGAATACATGAAATGGGTACATATAAGAAAAATAAAATAAAAATAAAAGAAACAATAGGACAGGGACGGTAGGCACGTTGGTGTGCTTATGCACGCCCCCTAGAGACCTCTTAGGAAAGGGGTGAGGTCAATAGTAGACAGTCTAAGGTTAAAGTTTTTGGGGCTTGGGGAAGAAACTACAGTCAGGTAGAGCAGGGGTCCCCAACCACCGGTGGAACAAGTCCTACCGGGCCGCTGGTTTGCTGGGCGCCGCCATCTTTTTTTGATGAAAAAGTGCTTCCGGTGAGCTTTTCCGGGTAGAAAGCTCACCGGAAGCACTTTTTCATCAAAAAAAGATGGCGGCGCCCAGCTAATGCCGGTACCGGGCCGCGCCATAAAAAAGGTTGGGGATACCGGGCCGCGGCATAAGAAAGGTTGGGGATCACTGAGGTAGAGTATTCCAGACATTGATCACTCTGTTGCTGAAGTCGTATTTCCTGCAATCAAGTTTGGTGCGGTTAACCTTGAGTTTGTATCTATTGTGTGCTCTTGTATTGTTATGGTTGAAGCTGAAGTATTCATTGACAGGAAGGACATTGCAATGTATGATTTTATATACCATACTTAAATCAGACTGAAGACGGCGTAATTCAAGGTTTTCTAGTTCTAGAATTTCAAGTCTGGTGGCATAAGGTATTCTATGTTCAAAGCACGCTGGATTTTTGAAAGAGAGCAAAACTCGCTGAATTTAAAACACTTTAACTACAGTCAATATGTCTCTGAATAAGATTGTTTTCCAAAAGTTCTTCAAGTTGAGTAGTAGTAAAAATACAGTCCAGAAATTTGGGTTAACCAATCCAATCTGTCCTTTACTTTTAAAGTTACTTCTAGTTGCAATATCTTTTTTTTTTATTTTTTAACTAAATCTGACAGTCACTCCAGATCGTTAATCGCAGCTATTTTCCTCCTTTGAGTCCCACTTTCCAAGGAAAATTCCACTGCAGAAATTGGAGTGATTCTTACCAAGACTAAGCACGCTGTTACAAGATCTTTCCTTTCTTTTTCACTTCTGTCTCAGCTGCCTTCCTGGCTTCGATTTAGCCATGCTGGCAGTTCTCTTTTTAGTTCGGATGGAGGGGTTTTCTTCGGGTCAGTCGAGGAGACTCTCCTCTCCTCGTGACCACCGAAGCATTCCTCAGCCGTGACTTTCGGCTCCTAAGAGCCTCAGGGCTTTCTACTCCCTCCTTGTTTCTCCCTGCCAGCTGTCCGATGTGGCTCTGGGGAAACTGTGGGGGGGATATTAATTTATTTATTTTATTTATTTATTTGATTTGTCAATTGCTTACAAGATAATAAGTATAAGTATATACATAGTTATGAATACATGAAATGGGTACATATAAGAAAAATAAAAATAAATATTAATGGAGACACGTTGTCTGGCCTAAGTAAGAGGTTTGGGGGCTCAATTCCCCAATCCATACAACCAGAGCAAAAGACTCATACTTTTTCAGAGGGAAAGGCAGCTTCCTGTAAGAGGACATTTTATTAGTACCCTTTCTGCCCCCTTGATAGATTCAGACAAATGTTGTGAAATGCCTTTGAGGGGTCCTTGGTGCTCTCTGAGCTTGGTCCTTTTTCCCACTGATGACGTTACCTAATTTGGGTGATGAAACGTCTACAAGAAAACAACCAAACTCTGACAGCACCAAGGACTTCATTTCAACTGAGTTACAGATATTCTCCTTTATTGAAATACCTTTGACTGAAACCATAGAGAACCAGTTATCATTCTAGGCCAAATTAATGAACCGGCCTCATGCTACAACTGACCTTCTGCTCACAACCAATTGGACACAATCTCAGCACACACAATATAACCAGATTACAGTTTTATTGCTGAAGTGAGAACTCCTAGGCAATGTTCAGCCTTCTCAGATGGCAGTGTGTGGCAGCATAAGATTTCCCTAACCATTAAATGGATCCAATAGCAACTACCATTGCCATGCTGGACAACAAGGTGAGGAGATCCAATCCAAGACATCTAGTGTGCTAGTTAAAAAGAGATTGGAATTAAAAAAAATATAATTCCTCCATGTCTCTGTCATTAATATGTTTATTGGACAGTTAATTAGGTATCTTTGAATTGGCTTTGGCCCCTAGTAACTACAGGGTGGTGGTAGACAGCAATCTATCTTGCTGGAATCAGGCCTCCTTCAAAGGAGTTTGATTCAGTGATTTTATTCCCATGCTGTTTTGATCAGAATCAAGCCAGAAAGGATCTTGGAGGTCACTTAGTCCAACTCTCGCTGCTGAAGCAGGAGATTCTATACCATTTCAGACAGGTGGCTGTCCAGTTTTTTCTTAAAAAGCTCCAGTGAAGCATCCACAACTTCTAAAGGCAAGCTGTTCCAGTGGTTAATTGTCCTCACTGTTAGCAAGTTTCTCATTAATTCCAGGTGTGCTTCTCTCCTTGTTTAGTTTCCATCCATTGTTTCTTGCCTTGCCTTTTGGTGCTTAGGAAAATAAGTTGACTTCCAAGTTTTCTTGGAAAGAAATGAAGAGGTTTGCAATTGGTCTCTTCAGGGATAATTCTTAACTTCTCATTCATGTCTATGGCCCTGGAAAATCTCCTGTATAACGCTGCCTTGTCATCGTGGACTAAAATTCTTCTAAGTTGATGTGCAGAATTGATCAACAGGTATCAGAAATGTTTAGTTACCAATGGCCCAAGTGTGTGTGTGTGTGTCTGTAGGCATACCAGTTACTACCAGTAGAAGCAAAGGTTCACATATTGCCGCACACAAATACGTATGTAGCTTAGGATCATTTTCCTCGATATAAATGAACAACTAAGACATTTTTCGTTCATTTGTTTATTTGGGTTCCCTTTATCTTGTTTTAGGACGTGTCTGGAGAACAGATCATGTTTTATTTCTGTGGAAATATTGAAAATTCAGAAGGGTTCACAAACATTTAAGTACCATTGTACATATCTTGCTTCTGAATCTAGAGGAACACCAGAGTGGAATCGTTTAGAGAAAATACATTGTCTTTTAAAATTCATTTATACAACACTGTAGCTGCACTTTACATAAAAACTAATATTACCGAATTAAATTATCAGAATTAAGGGCAACAAGAGAGAAAAATAGTTTGGGGAAACCCTGGGAAACTTTAGATCAGAACATGAAAATTAACCTACAAGGAAATGTGGGAGGGGAAATCAGAAAAGGTACCACAAAGCAATCTACACTTTTCTTGAAAATAGTTTCATTACCAAACAAGGTAACATCATTACCTAGTTTGGTAATAAAATGCCTGCAAGAAAAAAAAAACCAAACTCAAAATATCAAGGACCCCTCATTTCAACCCTGAGCTACAAATATTCTCCTCTTATCAATCTATGCCACTCTCACTATTCTTTTTGCTTAATGCAACATAAATGGCTTCTATTGGTATGTCTGGTAAACGCAGCACAAATCAACATTTCTAAATGTTTAAAACAAATCACAACAAACATGTCAGAAAACTTTATTCCATATCACACATTTCACATCCTTTGCACAATTTTCTAGGGTTTGTAGAATAAATTTAAAACGTAGCGATATGTTGCACTGCAAAATATTTCCAAGGCCAACATAGTTTTAAAGCCCCATACTAAAATTCAGAGTGAGCTTATCTTAAAGGACGTATTTTCAGACTGATTTTTGTTTTTGAAACCACTGAGATCAAGTTGAGCAAAGTTAAACTCAGGGAAAAAACAAATTTACATCCGCTTGAAAGTTTCTCATGAATTTTTACTTTCTGAACATATCAATGAAATTATTGCCAAGTTTACGATTCTGGGCCCTGAATCAACACCAGCTCACGTTCAACTTATTAAATTATAACTAGCTCCTTCTGAAAATCCCAGAAATGATTATATGCACCCCATTCTGAGGAGTTAAGTTTAAAAGTTGAAAATATATATTTTGAAATCCTCCTCACTGTAGCTTATTGTCAAAAGGAATCTTGTTTTATATCCAAGCATTTAATTTCACTGAATCACTGACTCCCATAATCAGTTTTGACTCGGGGCATTTCCTCTTTTATGAAAGTTGGAGACTTGTAAAATATGGAATGTAAAAATGGCATTTGCTCTCTTACTCAACCGGTTCTAATTTATTCCTCTGTAAAATGAAAAAGACACCGGAGCCCTTTGAAAGAAATGCTGTAACACATTTCCTTTGCCTTTAAGTGCTGGATACAGAAACGGCCATCTCCATTCAGGTATATTTGAGGTTGCCCTTAGCGAGGAAGTGACTGAAGTTTGGTGACTTCTTGTTGGAAGAAATGAGGGACCATTTTTCTGAATTCTCTTTTCCCTCACACAGCTCCAGAACATTCCTAACTTCACACTCCTGGACAGATTATAAGAATCACAAAGTAAGCAGCAAGTAGGCCTCAGTGAAAACTGCCATCCCTAAGAGGAAATATTACTTTTTACGCGTTTCCACTCAAGCGAACTCTGGATCATACCATTTAGCAGGATATTTGTGCAGGCCTGATGGCGTTGCAGATACAGAGTAAGGAAGCAATTCTCCTTCAAGGAAGCCACCAGTTTCCAGACAATACAGTAAAATTACAGAGAACCAGGTGCAAACATCTCAGGTCCCCTTTGCAGAATTTGGAGAAGTAATTTTTGCACTTCCCTTCCATGCTTGGGCTTCGGAAGTTATCATCTTTTTCTTCTCGAAGTGGAAACAAATAATTCATCCTGTAAATTAATGACAGGCATTTCATTGAGATGTTATATGGTTAAGGAGAATAATCCCCTTTGGATGGGTCAGCTGTATCAATGTATGACAATTCATAGTGGGATCTAAACATTTTTTTAAAAATTGTTTTGAACTTGGATTCTTCACTGACTTTGTTCACAGTCTATCCCAGTCTATCCTCTTCTCTCCCTATGGAACATAGCAATAGACTTAAGACTTATATACCGCTTCATAGTGCTTTTACAGCCCTCTCTAAGCGATTTACAGAGTCAGCCTATTGCAATCTGGGTCCTCATTTTACTGACCTCAAAAGGATGGAATGCTGAGTCAACCTTGAGCTGGTGAGGATCAAACTCCTGGGAGTGAGCAGCGTCCGCCAGCAATACTGCATTCTAACCATTGGGCCACCACTGTTCAACAGCTACAAGAAGTAACTCTTGGCAACAACAGCCAGCATTCAAGGTTTCCTCCTGCTTTTAGAGATTGCTAACTGTCTGCTTTTCTGCCAAAATAAATGGCCTATTATGGTTCTCCTCTTCTTTCCCTGCTTAATTATGTCCAATTCTAAAAAAATTGCCTGGACATTCCCTGCAGTTTTCTGGATGGGGTCTTCAGAAGTG